AACCTTCCGAGCCCCGGTTATACCGAGCTCCTCGCCCGGTGGTGTTGCTGTTCCCGTTGGAATAATTTAACGGTGTCACTTCAGCCTCTCCTGCCCTGTGTCCCCGTGCCTTGTGCTTCTCCGCGGCTGCCTCCCATCCTTTGCAGACGCAGCTACCGTGCCGCGGGGCTGAACGGCGCTGGCCTTACGAGAGAAGGAGCAAAACTGGGAGAAGAGGGAAACGGCTGCATTAAAATAAGCTGAAACTGCTGCAGAGCAAGTCTGGGCGGCTTTCTGTTAGCACGAAGAAGGAGAATTGGTTTTTACTCATGCTGCTTATCGAGAGGGGTATGATGGTTATTATAAGCTACACCGCTATAAACACGGATAACCAACTGTGCCTTTAAAACATTAATTATTGTGATTCAACATGTTACTGTAGCTTGTTCCAGGTGCAGAAACATAGTTTCAAATACCGAGTTTATCGGTTTAACACGGTTAAAACTAACAAGTTGCACTTGGTGGTTGGTTGGAGGAGAAGGTGTACAAATGCCACTTGTTAGTATAACTTAATTGAAGAGTATCGATTTGGTTGTTCACAGCAGTGTGAACACAAGGCCAGGCTGGATGAGGCTTGGAGCAACCTGGTCTGGTGGAGGGTGTCCCTGCCCATGGCAGGGGTTGGAACTGGGTGGGCTTTAAGGTCCTTTCCAACCCAAACCATCCTGTGATTCTGTGTATCTGAAGTGTAAAGGTATGAGCTGTGCCACTCCTAGTTCTGTGCAAGATCAGCTTGTGCGTAGCAGTGCATCTTGGTGGGACTTGGCGTGTGATTCACAGGCTTGTGAATGTCATTGTTGCCGTTGTGAACTTGCTAGATAAACTTGGAAAAAACCCTTTCATATCAGTTGCATTAGTTACTGTTTGCACTGTGTTGAAGCATCCTAAAGGAAATGCTGTTTGGAAGTTGTATGTGAACATGGATTTTATCTAATCAGAAATTAATTAAAATGCCTTTTTTTTTTTTATCAGTAAGTGAACTTCATCTTTGTCGGTTAAGAGACGATGTTCGTTACAACTTAAGCTCTTTCGAATGAGCACATCTTGTGTTTTCTGCACTCAATTTAGTTTTCTAACATCTAAGTACAGTTTCTGACCAACATAATTACTTGGAAAACAGAGTAATTTAGTATAACTTCAACATTCTCTTTCTTATTTAAGGATGAAAACTTCCGCAATGAGTAAACGTAAGTTAAAGGAGATCAGTGGAATAAATGGAGAATGCATTTCACAGGTTAGTAACGTCTGTTAGCTGACCTTGTTAAGTTCCAAAACGTTTTGATCCTCTGCCATCCTTGACATTCTGTAGTTTTTTATTAGACCAGTTAAAGTGACTTACAGATACTCAGTGTCATTTCTAGGGCTGTAAATGTTTTTTGTATTTACGTTCTGAATTCCTCCCAGCTTCTCACCTGGTGTTGGCTTGTTTCAAGTGTTACGGGAACGACCTACTTTTTGGAGTCTTAAGAAAAATGGTATGGCATGGTCTTGTGCTTTTACGGCCGTTGGTGGTAACAGATTTGCATAAATCTATTTTTGTCTAATCTGATAATTTATCTTGCAGTCTGTAGGGTGAACCAGAATCTAGGGGACTTTGTGTTTTTAATAGCATAGGTTAGGCAGGATAGCAACTGCTGAATCAGGTTTTGTTTATTTTTTTTTTAAGCTTTATTCATCTGTTTTCTGTAAGTGGCTACTTAAAAACTGTGATGCATCTTGTAGTGAGTTACCTCTGGATCAGTGATTTCTTAGAGTTTTCCTTCATTTACCTATCAAATCCCTTTATAGGGAGAAAATCTTTCCACTTTGAATGGACAGTGCTGGTTGTTCAGATAGATTGTTTATTGAAACAATAAATCTAGGAATTACAAGACTTTGGTAGAAGAAAAAAAAGAAAAATCAGGTAGAGAAGTACAACTATTAAAAAATTAATTTCATAAAGTGGAATTATTAGCAAAATAGGTGTCGGTTGTTCTTGTCCCCATTATTTAGACTTGCTAGGGAGTACTTTGCAAGGATGCATCTACACCCATTTATTTTTAAACCAAACACGTAGAGCTGATGGCGATAATTCCATCATAAATGAACATTAGCTCAGTGTTAGAAGAAGATGTATTTTCAAGATACTAAAAGGCTGTTAGTGACATACCCCAGGACTGGTCAGCTAAAACGGGCATTAAGGAGTAACGACTACCTAAGGGAAACATTTGTGGTACAGTATTGCCCCAGCATAGGTTTACCTGGGGTAGAATGCCCCACTTTGTCGTGATTTCTTAGGATTCAGCAGAAATTAAGGAGGACTCCATTAAGAGGTAGGGAAAAGCTGTATAGGAGGAAGATGAGCCAACTCTGATGAAAAGACTGAAAAAGCATTGACACAGGTTTGCATGAGAATGGTAGAGTTATTGTTTAGGTCCAATGAACATTTGCGTAGACTGAAGGGTAAGGTGCTCAAATGTGATTTTTAAAGGGAAATCGCCTCCTTAACGTTTTGCTATTTAATCTCTGAAATTATTTTGACAGTGAGCTCTTAAATTGGACAACAGAAGTTGTAAGAGGATGGAGTACACCGGTATTTTAGGAGAACTTAAATGAGGGTGGGGAGAAGCAGTGGTATAGAGTCTTGTAAAGTCTTAAAACTTGGGACTGTCCAGTTTGCATGCCACTAGTCAAGTGGTAGGAAGAAATCTGCTGTGATGCTGAAGGTTGGCTGTTTGGGAATTGAAGGCAGAATTTTAAGTACCAGTCCTTAAGGTGGAAAGCAGAAGTCAGTGCAGATGTGTATCTAAAGATGTCCCAAGCCATAGGCCCAAATTAATAGTTAAAAGGACTGTACTCGCTGTGCGATTTGAATGACTTCAGGACTTGATCTGAAAATCAAGCTGGATAGGTATCATTCCATCCTTTGTAAGCAGTGTGTTAGCTTCAGTTTCATCCTACTTCCTGCTCCCCTCTGAATGTTTAGGAACAAGGTATCTGAACTGAATCTTGGAAGAAACTGTAGATTTGGTACTTTCTAATGTTGGATTGTGGTAGGCTGCAACATTGTTGTGAGTGGCGCAAAAAGCGCGTTCACTGGGGGTTTAGAGAGTAACCGAGCGGGTTATGTTTTATTTAAGTCAGCTGGTAAATGCTTTCTTGCCTCTGTTACACAGTAAGTCAGAGCTATGCATTAGACAGCCCTCTGACGTAATTTTGGTGACAAGTACAACATCCCTTTGGGGGTGAAGCAAAGAAACCGTAGCAGATGGGATCAAGGACATGTATTGCTGTCATTTAATTGCGTTTTCTCTTTTCTGCTACAAAGGAGTCTGTTAATGTTCTGCCTACTGCAGCCTCAGTCTTACGTTCAAGACCCCGGTGTCATTGATGACAACTAAAATTGGCATGTTACAGACTAACCACAGAAACATAACTTTTACTAGTACTGTACTGCAGTGATTACATTATTGGTACGTTCTGGCGTTCGAAGCACCAAGCATTCTTTCTGTCTTATGTTATATCCGTAGGCACAAAAAATTTTACGTGAAAGATTCTGTCACCATGATGCTACTGGAAAACTGTTTGGGATTGAACATCAGTACAGGTGAGTGAGCAGACCCAAATACTAAGTAATTTCTACTTTAACCACAGTAGAGAAAAATACTAGGTGAGGTCAGAACTTCCTGCTTCTTCTGTTTTTCGAAATTATACAGGCTTAAGTGACTTGCAGTGCAATGCTGCTGAAAACGGCTTGCCTCAGACTGTGAGAGTTTGTATACAACTCTTGCTAGCTGCTTTGTCCAGCTCTGAGTGTTGGGTTTCTTGTCCTTGTTTCAAATCTATAATTCTTCAAATGTTTTTGGGTTTTTGAGCCTGAAAGATACTTCTAGTGCATATTCTAAGGCTATGTTCAATGACCTGGCCAAGCAAAAAGTTAAATCCTCTTGTGATTTTACTTCAGACTCTCTCCTGTTTATTGGTAAGCTGTGCTAAAAGTAACTCTTAAACCTTGGATGCCAACATCATGTTTCTTCAAGTAGAGACCCATATTTAAAATTAAACTACTTCTTGGGGTCATGCAGATGCAGAGGTTAAAGTTAGGGTGAAGAGACCTGCTGTGACAGTAATGTCATCTCAATACTAATCCTTCTACAGATGCAGGTCAGATCCTGAAAATAACAAACATGTATTTTAAACAATAAGTTTTCCCCAGAGTAACTTTAACAGTTGAATCATCTGACATGAGCATTGGTTTCCTTACCCTTACAGGAAGGAAAAGAACATTTCTTTTATTAAAAGTGTAGTGTGATATACATGCAGGACTCGCATAGGCGTTTTTATTGCTGTGCAAAAATGTATTTCTGTGATGTTAGTATTCTACAAAACAAGCCTCCCCTCTTCATACTGCAGTTCTGGTAAACAGTTTTCAGACTGGTTTCTACTTCAGTGTGTCACTGTTGGGGAATTGTACTGGAGAGAAAACACCATGAACTTCCCAGCCCTTCGTTTTCCTTTCCCAAGATGTATCAGGGCTCTTGGCCATAGTCGGCTCTCAAACAGTGACGAACAAAAACTAAATGTGTTGGCTACAGCTGTCCTGGGATGACTCTGTCGCTCCTTTAACAGCGATTGCATGATGTCAATATTCCAAGTTTAAAATAAAAAGGCATGTTAAGTGTGTGCTTTTGTAAACATTTGGGGATTGGCAGCGTGAGTAGTTTTTATAAGTACTTTAAATGTGATACTGGGTGCGAAGTCTGTCTGAAGATAATTTAGAGTTGTTCCTTGTGCCTTCTTTTGAATGCCTAAATTTAGCATATAATCAGTTTTATGAAAATGGTTAAAATGAACATACCCCACTAGATCATTAATTTTTACTGGTGTAAAGTTTTTCCTTCACCATGTTTGCTGCTCTTCCTTTTTCGTGAGCCATAGTGGTAACACAGAAAGTGATCTGCCTTTTTTTTTAAAGACAAAAATGATTCTTGAAGTCTGTCCTTTCATGGTGGAGAATTGTAGAACTTTATGAATTAGTGATACTCTCCACTTCTGCGTGTTTTAATATTTTAAAATATTTTAAGAGATCTGATCACTCAGCCTTTGGTACTTCACTGTATTCCATTTTGCATGCCCTGAGTATTAGCTCTGAGAGCACGCTGAAATGTCTCGAGTTCTCTCTTCGGTTCTGAAGACTCTTTGCATTTGCCTTAGTTGCAGTGAACGTTGTCGGGTTTGAAGTTTTTAACCTATTGCTGTTGTCAGCGCAGACATCTGCTGGAACTGCTGAAACGGACTATGATCCACGGAGAAAGTAATTCGGCCCTTATTATTGGACCCCGAGGATCAGGAAAGACTGCGGTATAAAAATCTGTTAAAAGTTTATGCAGGGTGAAATTAAGCAGGAGGCAGACAACCTCACTGAAGTCCTTTTGGAGCTACGTTTTCAGTGCTGCCTGTTTTTAACGAGAGAGTTGCTGATCACCCACACGTAACTTCAAAACCTTCTAGGACTTGGTGTGAGCTAATTCTGCTGAATAACAATATGGAGGAATTTATTTCCTAACAGCCTTGTGAAATTTTTCTAACACTGAGTTCTTAGTGAATTTGTAAAATAGAATAGCTTTGTGTGCAGCTGACAAACCACGTACCTGTCCATCCTCACAGCAACTGACAGCATGTGTGGGTTTGGGATTCTTTGCGTGTCTTCACCAGGTTCCATGACATGCTACAGGTACCCAAAACACCTAAAATGGAAACAATTTTATCAGAACAAGTTGCATCTGTCTAGATCGTAGATTCTTCTTTCAGCATTTCTCCCATTACGCTTCAGTAATGGCTCTGGCCACAGGATTCCACTTTGCAATTAAAGCCACGGCAAAAAGTATTTAAGATGGAAAAATTTCAAAAAATTACTTTGGAACTCTTCCCAAGTGCTAAAGCAAGTGGCCTTCAAGCTTTTAAATGCAGTTGAATAGAAATAAATTAATAGATGGTAAACATTCATGATACAGCTGACACCAATCGTTCTGCTTATTTGTTGATAGCTTTCTGGTTTTGTAAATTTGGGACCCCTGAATTTTATAAGCAGCAGTTGATTTAAATATGTCCAATTTAATCTTGTCTCATGCTGCTTAACTTCAAGGTAAAAAGAAATAGGCACAGTGTCTAAGACCTAAAGCAGAGATTTTTGTTCTACAGCATCTAATGAAGCAACAAAGCCGAATACTGTACTGACTCAAGACCAATCCTCTCACATCTCAAACTCTTAAAGCTTGTTTTGATTAAGGCAAAAGCCTTAGATATTACCCCCAAAAATGAGTGACGAAAATGAACAGCTTAGCTTTTACCCCCCAAAATCAGCGACTACAATCCTGGGCTTATTTTTATATTTCCATCCTAATTCAGCCGAATGAACAGATGCAATTGCTACAGTCATGATAGGGAATCAAAGTTGTCATTTTAGTATTTTAGTCTTGAAAATACTCAAAAACACTGTTACTTAATGAAACTGCACATACAGTTTCTGATGTGATAACATCTGTTTTCATGCTTTTCTTACTGTGAATACATTAATCTTCTTAGAAAGAAATTGTGTCCTTTTTTTCCCCTAGTTATTAAATCATGTCTTAAAAGAGCTCGAGAAAATGAAACAAGTTAGAGAGAACCTCTTGGAAGTTCATCTGAATGGCAAGTAATATACTGCATTTTTCAAATGTGCCGTTATAGTCAGTTGCTGTATTTTGTATGTGCTGAACAGCAGTTGGTTTCAGCAGTTTTAACCTAGCCTCAATTAGACACGTTTGTCTGTGAGCCCCAAAATGCCTGGGTTTATATCCTTCTAGACAAACAGGACAGTTGTGCTTTTTAATGGCTTTTCAGAATGTTAAAATCAGTTCAGTTGTGACTGAATTGTTTTAAGTAACTGATTACGTGTGGGAAATGGCTGTCTAGTCTGAATTTATATGGAGGGTTAGCTCTGTAAGGCTGGAAGTCGGAGAGAAGCTTCTGCACAGGTTTCTGGTGTCTGTGGACGCAGCCCTTTGGAGTGAAGGAGAACTGCCACTTCTTCCTGAAAAATCATTTTCTTCCAGGGCTCCTGCAGACTAATGATAAGGTGGCCCTGAAGGAGATCACCAGACAGTTGAACCTGGAAAACGTGGTTGGAGATAAAGTTTTCGTAAGTATCAACTTTACCCTTTGTGATCTCCCTCAGAAATCCTCCCCTGACAACGGGGCTTCACAGAACGCGCCTGGCTGAGACTGAATGGGCTTTGAGGGTGTTTTAGCAAAATCCCCGCGGGCTGGCTCAGTCCTCCCACAGCTTTCTCTTCCCAAACCCTTGGTGACCGATGGCAGCAGGGAACCGTGGCAGCGTTTCCCTGTGAAAACGCAAACGCTTAGGGCACGCTAGCAAATGCTTGTGCTCTGCACGAGTGCTGAATGTTCCTTTATGCTGGTTGAGCAATATTGGTGCTAAGGATACTTTTTCAAAAACACATCAACTTGGAGAAGGACGAGGAGTGGAAAGGCTGTTTTAACATTTACCTCAGGCCTCTAAATGAAACAAGAGCCGTTGTTCAGAGGGGTAGGGTATTTTGGAAACATCGGCTTTAACATGTAGGACAGAGTAAGGGAGTTAACTAGCTAAAAAGCAGTATCTTTAGGGTATTTGCAACCTGTTCTAGCGCATAGGGAAATCTGTCCAGGCTTCCTAGAGCTCCTGTTTTGCACGGAATTTCTATTAAATTATATGTTTCTATTGACCTTTTCCCAGAGATGATAAACTCATTCACATTAGTACTAGAGTCGGGAATAAGGAGAATAACGGACATGCTTCAGATTAAATTTCACTCACTTGAGTGTGAAATAGTTGGGCTGGTGATCGGAGCTAGCCTGGTCGTGGTGCCGTTTGTGGGGTGACAGTGATCCAAGCGGCTAAAGCAGAGCTATGAGAGGGGAGAAAGGTGAATTCTCAGTAGATGAGGTTTATTTTCACCAGCTGCGTGCAGAGAGCTGAAGAGAGAAGGTGCTACTACTTCAGCTGAGCGAAACCAGAGAACTTGGTTAGAGGCAGTGTGGGACTCAAGATGCTGTGTAGATGGTATTGCTGAGGCTTTATTGTCTTTGGAAAAGCCTGCTTCTTAGGCTGTGTTTTGGTTTCTCATGCAAAATGATTTTTAGATACAGAGAATGGAAAATAACCTTCCTGGTGGTGAGCTAAAATTTCCCATATAAAGCTGCAATAAGAAAAGGAATTAGCAAGTAATTAATTTCGGCATAGCCATTGGAATGAGCTCTCTTTTTGACAGGGAACTGGAACAACATTTCAAGCTCTCCAGTTCCCCTACCAAAAATGCTGGAGGCAAAACGGGACTCAAAATATGTTTAATTCCTCTAGATTTGTCCTGATTAAGTTCCCATGGAGAGCACTACTTTAAACTTTGGCCATCAAATCCCTTTGGTTGCACAGAGGCACGGCAGCCTACTGATGCGCAGGCATACTCCTCTCCATAGAAACTTTTCCTTCCTTAGCTTTTGCAGCTCCCATGCAGAGAGTAAGTTGGCTTTACGCCCTCTTTGACAGGACTTGTGCTCTGCAGTTACAGTTATTTCCCAGCTCACAACTTGTGTGCTTCGGAGTGTGTCCGTGTGTGTAACCGAAGCAGGATGGGACAGTCATAGCAGTTCATTTTCCGGCGTGAATATTTGCTGCTCTCATCTACCTAATTGCACGTTGAAAAGCTGCCTACTGGTTGTCCTCAGCGGAGCACGTTAGGTGGCAGTTTTTGCCTCTGTGTGGATGGAAGATGGGTGTGCAATAGCTGTTTAAGGAAAGCTTGTAAATAGAGCTTAGTGTTGTAGGTATTTTTCTGATCAGTAATTTTTGCCTGTCTTATGCAATAAGTTTGAGGGTTCCAGACAGGAAAAAAGTGGGTCGATGTGGAGTTAACTATCAGTTTTCTTGCCCTGAAGAGGTTACGATTACACGATGTGAAATTTCATTGTAAATTTTTGAATATGTGCTGGTTTGGAAGGAGACAGCCTTCATTACATGCCTGAACTTGATGTAGTTACACCATTCTGAGCTTGACTCTGAAAATCTATTGTGAAACTTTTTTTCTTCTCTGTGTAGGGCAGTTTTGCTGAAAATCTTGCGTTCCTTCTTGAAGCTTTAAAGAAAGGTAAACACTCGTACAATCACAGAACGGTTTGGGTTGGGGGGGAGCTTAAAGCCCACCCACTCCCACAGGGACACCTTCCACTAGACCAGGTTGCTCCAAGCCTCATCCAGCCTGGCCTTGGACACTTCCAGGGATGGGACATCCACAGCATCTCTGGGCAACCTGTCCCAGTGCCTCCTCACCTTCTGCGGGAAGAATTCCTTCCTGATATCCATTCTAAACCTCCCCACTTTCAATTTAAACCCGTAGCAACACTAATTACGAGTAAACACTAGTAAACCCCTGTGCTGACACATTCTGTGTTTGTCACTTCCCTGAAAAGTTGGCATCCAATGTGGTTTTTCATTAACTTTTACAAGAGTTATGAAGAAATCTAGCCCCACAGTGTGTCCTGGCTACAAAATAATGTGAAAAAATACAGAATACTAAACAAACATTAACCTAATGTGCCTGGTGCCGTAAAGGCTTGCACGCGATGGTGAGCTGTGAAGGACAGGCTCTTTTGTCCAGATTGAAGCTATTAAAAACAATGGGCTTTTAAATCCTGACAGATCTGCCTTCCCTTGCAACCAGAAGTGGTGCTTGGTGAATCGCTACAGACCTTTACCAGCTTTTCAGCGTGGTTCTCATTTCACTGTTGGAGCAGTCCCTGTGTGAAAGGAGGGCTTAGTGAAAAGCTCAAGGAAAAGGTGTGAGTTGTTAAACCCGGAATTAGGGAAAGCTGTAGAGATGGTAGTCTGATGATGAAGCTCCCATGCTAACTTTTAAAACTGCTCTCTCAGGAGATCGAACCAGCAGTTGTCCAGTCTTGTTTGTCCTGGATGAATTTGACTTGTTTGTTCATCACAAGAACCAGACGCTGCTCTACAACCTCTTCGATATATCCCAGTCAGCACAGACTCCCGTGACAGTTATTGGACTTACGTGTAGACAGGTAAGAGATTGCGCTTTCTCCACGTTTTTAGATGTTTTCAAGACACTTTTGACTTAGTTGGGGTGTTTTGTCCTTTCCTGGAACCTTATTTAATTTACTAAGAGTCTGTTCTCAATCATCCATTTTTCTGACCTTTGAGTTGGGAACGGGGAAGGGGGAGATAATGATAAGGAAATAATTTGTGCTGAGAACAAACTGAGGTGACCAAAAAACGGCAAAGCCTCCAGTTTTACTGTGAGAGGAGCAGGTTTCCATTTCTAAGGAGGCACAAGGCCTGTGTTTCCACAGAAGAGCCACATTTATCCATGTGGCCAGCTTATATTACGCTGTCGTTGGCTCTTTGGAGAGGCTCCTGGGCGTTCCGCGTTCTTGGTCAGCAGCTGGTCAGCAGCTTGGTCAGTCAGCAGCTGGTAAACACAGACTTGTATTAACCTACAGCGTTGAAATCCGAGGACAGGGAATTTTTTTGAAACAACCTCTTTCCTGGGGCACACTCACCATAGTATTTTCATGTTCAAAATGGGTTTAGGATCCCTGTTCAGCTCACAGCGAGTTTTGCAATGACATCGTAGGGAAGTGTGGACAGATTCTGTGTATACTGTGAAATAATTCTTTGTAACACTATGGAAGTTGATTTTTTTTTTTTAATAAA